AGTGGGTCACCATTGAAGGGTTTTCAGAAGGAGCGTTGTATTGGATTGGAGAAGAGAGTAAAATAAAAATTTTAGATATAAGTTTGAGAAAGCTGCATTGCAGTGCTTTCCAGATTGCTTTCTGTTAGGTCATGTTGTCACTCTCCTCTTACAACCCAACTGTGAACTCCAGGAGGGAGCAGGTTACCGCTGTCTGCTTCAGAATTGTCCACAGATGGACGCAGAGCGTGAGGCACTGTAACCCTATAGCACAAATGCATGGGGGGGAGACTGCCAATGTTCCAATGAATAAGTAAGCCTTTAAGATGCTATAGCTACAGTGATCTAAAATGAAAATCTAGAATATCTGATGCAAATTTAAGCGTTAGTGAGCATACCAGCAGCCACAGGATGCAGAACTTGAGCTCAGAGCATCGCCTTGTGGAGGGCGATGGGGTCATGCCTTTTCATGCTGGGAAGGGAGACGTGGGCTGAGCATCTGTAAACCCGTCATGTCGCAAATACGGTAAGAAGAGTCTGTACTAAAAGTAATCCTTCATTTTAATACAGAAAATCCTTAAAAACTACATTGTATATATTTCAAAAGCAGTTTTTACTCGAGGTTAATATGTGCTATTCTGCACGATTTAGCAAAGCATTTGCTAATGTCAATCTTCCATCAGAAAAAATTATCAAAACTCATGAATAAACATTATCATCATTTATGTAGTAACTGAAAGGCTCAAGCAAGGGACACCCCATTACAGTGCTGCAATGCCTTCATTCCTTACTGTGTTATTCTGCAGTTAATTCAATTTTGTCCTTTCTCAGTTCTACAGTGCACATATCTTCCTGACTGTGGAACCAGCACACTAATATTAAAGTGGTAATCAAGATTGCCTCTAAATATTCATAGCAATAAATGACTCCCTCGTGCCCCATGAGTGCCAGGGCTGCAGTCTGAAGCATTTATTTAGTACTGGAGAGGGGTCTAGTCACTTCAGAGTCCCTTGAATGAGATATTTTAATATTGTTGTTCTGTTTGAAAAATCAGATCCCTCTGTGCTTCCAGTATCGACGGTTGAAATGAATGACTTTGGCTCAGCGCCCACCATCGTCTTTGAGAGGATAACCTGGAAGTCATGATGGGAGTGAACTTGGCTATTGACCTCACATCTTAGTTTTTTCATGTAATTCTCTTCCTCCTGCCAACCTGCCACCTTATTTTAACTTCATGGTCAAGTTCGGATTTTTCCAAGTCATTGAAAATCGGCTACTCTTTAAGGACATAGAAACACCAGGGAGATGATGCTATGTATCATTCTATCCGACGGAGGGAAAAAAAAAGTTGTAACATCTTTGTATCCATGAAAAGCTACATTTATTAACTTGAGATATTTTGCACCCATCATGAATGAAATAATTTAAATTCAAGTTTGGGTGATCTCCCAATTATACAAATTAAAGAAGGGCAGCACAACACAGCGCTGAGAAGAAAAAAACTGTAGCTAATCAATAAATCACTTTCTAAACATCTGCTTATACTTCCAGTTAAGTAGGATGTGCTGGCCAAGTGCATTGTGGGAGATCTCAGAGGGTGAACAGGGCAGCTGAGGGTCCAAGCAACGGGCAACAGGGTGGTGGCTGGAGACTTCCTTTGCAGACCTGCCTGGGGAAGCCTACCCAAGCTCATTTCTATGAGGAATATACAAAAAGAGAGGCCTCAGAAGAAACCAAACCTGCCGACACCTAGATCTTGGACTTCTAGCTTCCAGAAATATGAAAAAATAAATTTCTGTTGCTTAAAATACCCAGTCGGTGGTATTTTGTTATGGCAGCCCTAGCCAGCTAACACAGGACGCTTCTAAGATTCTGGTAATATTTTGATTTTTCAGCTGGGTGATAGATATCCTAATGATTATTTTATTGTTGTTTTTTAAATTATATATTTTATATACTCTCTGGATGTACTTTTCCCAATTAAAAAAATAGAATTCTAGTGACCGCCAAAACATTTCCGACCTATTGATTAGCACTTAATTGATTTATTCAGAAAATGCAGTTCTGTAAGCATTCAGTAACAGACATAGTTCCATTAGAGTGATCAATATATTATTTTTAAGAAAAAGAATGCTGTATTTAACCAGCCCTAGTTCATTATCTCCAACATATAAAAATCAAAAGAAAATGGAATGAATACCTGCTTTTAAACTAAGAAGTCTAATGCAATTAGTGGTTTTGAATTAAAAAAAACTCTCTGTTCTTCCCCATTGATTTCTCCTGCGCCATTCAGATCTCCACTAAGACACACAGATAAAGATCATTTTGCCTCCCTGGGGAAAATGTATTTGTTTGAAAGATGTTGACATTGGAATGTTATAACAGCTCCTGTGGGGACTTTACGTGGAATTAGGACAAATGTTAATGTTTAAACTAGCTCAGTTCTTTGGGGGCAAATAAAGAGTGCTGCAAATATTTTTTTCACAAATATGAGAGTCAGGATTTCTCTTTAAAAGAGTGATACATCTCTCAACATCTTAGGCAAACACAATTTGTGATTAACCTAAGTTATTTACACACACACATATATAAACACATACAAATATATATACTTATACTTGCATATGCTGTTGGGGCATATCTTGACAGAATATTGAGACATTTTTCTAATATTTGATTATAAACATAATAATATTTTTCTAAGATATAATTAATGGATGCAAATTGCAAACCCTGGAGAGAACATTCTTTAAGTGTTTGTAGTTAAAGCCAAGCGTTAGAAAGTATAGGCAAATTTAGGTAAAAGTCTCTGTGAAGGACAAAAGCAAATACAAGGCTTAGAAACACTTTGACACACTGTATTAAAAATCAAAAGAAGTGATGTGTGTTTAATTAATAGGAATAGTAATATTAATTTTAGAAGTTCAGCAAACACTCATAAATCCATACAATTCTTATAAACACCAGACAGCATGAAAGTATATCAATTAAGAAGTGTGGTCTCTCCAGGATCGCTAGATGTTTGTGTAGTCATTTGCTAGAATGAATCCAAAAACAAGACCTGTTTAAATCCAGAAAATATACATAAGTGTTTCCTGTATATGGAAATTTAACTGTTTAACACTCAAGCTTGAGTACTTAAATAATATCACTCATCAATTAGAATTGAGAAGAGCCTTCTGGAAGCACACACACACACAAAAACTTGACTCTGCACCTAATGTTACCCCCAAAAGGCACCAATATTTAAAATAGTCTATTAATCAGGCAGCAGTTGGTGATGCAAGTTTTAGATCTCTGTTACTGACTCAGAGGTGTCCAATGAAGGTGGAAATTTCTGTGAACTTTCCATGAGGATGGAAATGTTCTGCGTCTGTGCTGTCCAGTGGTGGTAGCCACTAACCACATGTTGCTTCTGAGCCTTGAAATGCGTCCAGTGTGACTGATGAACTAATTTTCAACTTTGTGTTCATTTTAATTAATTTAAATTTAAATAGCCATGTGTGGCTAATGGCTACCATGTTAGATATAGGAAATTACGAAAAGATGTGCAAAGGGCTGCCCTAAAAATAAAGTGAATCGCCTTTCCCCTTCATGATTCTGCCCCAGTAATATGGCATTACTTAATGCACGGTTTACATTCTCCCAAAACTCTTGGGACCTTCAGTTGTTGTGTTTTTTGTCTAAATTTTATTTCATTTTAACTAATTATTTTTGTGTTGGACATCAGAGCTTACAATCCAATTGCTCTTAAAATGTAGTAGCACGTGGTTAGTTAATTCCTAGAGTAGCTGAGATGCTGGCTGTGTTGTGAAAGTGTCCTGAACGCTGGAGTTACGAGAGTGCCTTTTGAATACAGAATATTAGAAAACTATGTATAAACCTCTTATTCTCATATCTCTTATACGAGCATGAAACCAAAAGAATTTGCAGAGCAAAGGCAGACAAAGCCGATACAACTGAAGTCAGCAGCACCAATTCAGTGTGGCTGCTGCTGATGTTTGAACAAGACGGAGACTGCGCTTGCAGCAGTCATGCAATGCTGGCTGGTGAGAGCCCAGGCTCTGGAGCTGGTGGTGCTAGTTCCACCTGAGGACCCGACTCTCCTCCACCTGGCTCATTTTAAGCCGCTAAGAAACCTTAACTTCTGGACTGGACTCTGGTGGTATTTGGGCCCCTTGTCAGGCTGACTGCATCCTTTGTGGATTAACCCCTCCTCTGTGCTTCTCACAGCAGTCTGGGTAGTCAGACGGCACTGCCAGGCTCCCACCTGACCACAGAAGCAATGGTGAGCTGGGTCAGGGCCTGGTTGTGCTGAGTGAACGGGCTCAACACGGCAATCAGAATGAAAACACAGCATTCGTTTTTCTAAAAATAAACATTAAAAATGTTAAATTCTCTTAGTGAGAAATGCCCCATGGATATATGAAACCCCCGTTTGAGACATGCTGGCCTGGCAGAGGGACAGGAATTGGACCACCAGTCCCTGGAATCGTTGAAGATGTATGGAATTTGGGAAAGCAGCGAGGGCCTTAGTAACATAAGTTTGAGATGGCAAATAGATTTTGACTTAGGTAAGGACTCTGAATCATTGACTTGAGCCCAACAGGAAGGGATGTGGCATATTTGACCACCCTGGGTTAGGTGGGAGTGAACCTGGGGTGGGGTGGTCGTTAAGGGACACTGCCATAGGGATACTTTTCTAAATATAGGGAAACTGAGAAAGGAGTTGATTATGGGGAATGGGGGCTGAATCAAGAAGGATCCCAAGGGGATGTGGCCAAAGGAGAGAAGTACAAAGGACAGGAATGCAGGTTGTGTCAGTGCCACCCAGGAGGGTGATGCAATTTTCAGACTCTCATCCTAGTGGTCCTGGTCTCCTCTACTTGGGGTCTCAGAATGGTCCCAAGGAGAAGATGTGTTTTTCTCTCTCTCCGTTGAATATGCCTACAGAGCATATTCAGATATTGGCAAGTCAAAGCGAAATATTTTTCAACTAACATTTCTTGTTTATCTTTCAGAATCATCCACAAGTGTTGAATTTTCGATTACAACTGGAAAGCAAAGAACTGATCATAAATCTGGAGAGAAATGAGTAAGTCAAGTTAGTTCTTGTTTATTGCATGAGAGAAGAAAGTTAAGACAATGTGGACTGAAAAGTGCTGTGTAATTTATGTTGGCATATAGAGAAGCAGAACTAAATGCATGGATTCGTAATCCAAATTCGGATTTGAGGGAGAATTAACCTCAAAAAAATGATCCAATGGAAAAATAAAGAATTTTATCACTCTGAAAAGGAACTTTATAACTCAGCAGGTTTTTCTCATAGTTCTGGTGTTTCTCTTTTTTCACAGCCTGATTTTTCAAGGATAGAATTTAAACATCCTCTGTTCTGTTCAAATACCAGTGTTCTGTAATTAGTTGACTTTTGGCAAATCTTGGGTTACATAAGGAGAAACAGCTTCAAATGGATAGAAATTCTTTTTTCCCTGAAAAATACCAAGAGTTTATTTTATCTTTGAGAGCTTGTCTCCAGTGGTATAAAGTATTTATTTTATCTTTTTATTTAAAAATTTGGCCCTTTTTTTGCAAAATTATATAAATTTCCAGAAAATGATATTGTGTTTTTTTCTGGAGCAGATGGATATTATTACCTATTTTGTATGCCTTCCCAGTAGAAAACTGTATCTGCTTCAAGGCATAAGTAAAAACAACCCATATTCTTGTCATCCTTTACACTCTGTGGCTATCCCCATGGGTTCCTCAGATCTAAAGGACCGCTTACTATTCTATTTGATTGGTACCAGAAAAGAATTGAGCTCTCCTGACAAGCCATCTGTATTTAAAGGTATAAATCAAGTTCCCAAGTCCTGCTTCATTCAAAATAGGAGTTTCTTTCTTCCAGATCCTCTGGGTCCTATTCTTCACCCACCAATGAAATGCTGAATTTTTTTTTCTGAAATGGTGGTGTAGATGGACAGTCTCACTGGAAACAGTTCTGCCAGAGATATCGAGGGACAAAAAACTTGACTCAGCATCTCCATGTAAACGAGTCAGATCATTTACTTGACTTGGAGAGTTTGAGGCAAATCAGATGAATGTGATGGCAGCAGCCAGTTTTCACATTTGGTATCTAACACCACGGCCAACAGCAATTAAAAAAAATAGAGAGATGGATGCATATAAATATATAGTTAAAAATAAATATATTTAAAATGAATATATGCAAAACAGAATGGCTTCCTTCTTGGGATCTGCAACATGCCTCTTGATATTTCTTGCATGTTTATCCCTCATGAAATGGGTTTGGTCATTAAGTGGATTAAAAGCTTTTGTAAGCAGTAAATAATGTGTACTTAGCTTTCCTGGTGAATAAAATGGAAGTGCAGGCACACGTCTTAGATAATGAGGGAGCTGAGCAGGAACCTTTTGAAGTGTCTCGTTTAGCAAAGTAAATATTTTTATGCTCTTTTTTTTTTTCATGTAAGAATATTGTGGGACATTTTAATTCTTGTATCTTGCTGTTGGTACGTGGTTTTGAAAGTATCTCAGGGAACGAAACTAGGTATTCCTTGAAAGATCAAAAAGAAAGGAGGCTTCTGGTGATGCGTGTCCGGGCTGGGGTTCTAGGGTTGGCACAGTGGGAGTTGGGAAGTGTCTGTACCGCGCCTGCTCCTCTCGTTGGGCTGTTGGAGGAATGTGGTGAACAGCGTGAGCGGGGCTGATCCTGGGCCTTTGCACGGTGTTCTGACTGCAGGTAGAGGGACGGAAGTGGACTTAATAAAAAACCCTTAAGTTATTTGTTTTTGCTGTAAAAGGAATATGTGTCTAGTGCAGAAAATTGAAAACTATAGGAGGGAAGAAGAACAAAGAGCCAAGGAAAAAAATTGTACTTCTATTACCAAACACAGTCCTGGTTACTATTTTGGTGACTGTCCATACAGATTTTTTTGTTATAAATAAAGCTTGTCTTCTTTTGTCTTCCTAGTTGATATTGTAGTCTGGGTGCAATTTGGTATCCTATGTCTTCATTTAGCTTTATAATGGATATACTTTTCTGTATAGAAATGAAGTTTTTAGAGACCATCTGGTTCTCTGAGTCTGTGAAGTGGCTTAATATCCTTATTCATGGTTCCCTCTGAAAATGATTTACTTTCCATTAAAGTGGATAATATAATGCACGTTGACTACTAGACAGTGGCTAATTTATATAAAAGATCATTTTAAAAGGTGCCTTAATTTATTCATTTCCAATTCTGGTCCTTTCTCAAAATCATCTCAAAATTAGAAAAGATGAAAATGTAAAACTATCTCTTCCTGATTTATTTCTCTCTTTCCAACCTCGCTGTCAACCTACATTTTATAAAATATATGGAGAGTGTGTAATATGTTCTATGACATCCTATAGCTTTATTTTAATTATACTACTTATACTAATTGTGAAGATTTCATTCTTTTAAAAATAACATTTTCATTATTAGAGTATGCCAGCATTACCACGTAATAATGCATGCCCTCAATACTTTAGTATAACACATTTTTGAAAAAGGTTACATACCTGTTCCATATGGACTTCACTTTTGAGACAATGAATACCAAAACATCTGCAATTTTATAAGTAGAGTGAAATGCTTGTCTGCTACCAGCTCTTAATGCTGTCAGACACAAAACATAATCAATCATCTACCATAGAACAGAATTTTTAATTTGTATAGCCTTTGGCCCAGTAGATCCAATTAGAGAATGTATCTAGATGAAGCTATAAGAACCCAAAGATAAATGTGCAAGCAAGGGTCGCTTCTGTATTTAACACCCAGCGCAGTGGAGGGCCTGACCCATCAGAAGGTAAGCTGCTGGGTACCTGCTTCAGTGCCTACAGGTGGGAATCAGCCCTGTGTTCAGGGATGTCCACTGCAGAATATTCTACCCAGAAGTACCTTAGTGGGAGATTGATTATGTAGTAATAAGTAATAAATTATCGCCCAGCTATGAAATAGAGTACTATGCAGCAATTAAAGATGATGATGGAGGGGCTGGCTATTGCCAAGTGGTTAGGGTTCCACACACTCCGCCTGGGTTCACAGGTTCGGATCCTGGGCACAGACCTACTCTACTCATCAGCCACGCTGTGGAGGGGTCCCACATACAAAGAATAGAGGAAGATTGGCACAGATGTTAGGTTAGGGCTAATCTTCCTTAAGCAAGAAAAAAAAAAAAGAGGAAGATTGGCAACAATTGTTAGCTCAGGGCGAATCTTCCTCATCAAAAAAAAAAAGAAGAAGAAAAGAGGATGATGATGGAAATCTTTATTATTGTAAAAAATGGTCATGATACAATCAACATAAACAGCATGTTAGATAATAGTTTACATGGCATTTGGTTTTATCTTAAAATTATATACATGTATCTCTGAGTAGTAAGATTATAGAAGACATTTACTTTATTAATGTTTTACAATAAGAAATATTACTATTGCGATTAGGAAAGCTTTTTATTTAGAAGGAAAAAACCTTATGTGAAAATTTTAAAATGTTGACATATTTATTATTCATAAAAAGGAAATGGTGGGTTTTAGAAAGGCCTCCAGCAATTTTCAAAGGGCTAAAAAGCTCTACCTATTGTATACTGGGTCTTTCAATATCTAGAAATCTGTTTTAATGAAAAACCTGCTTAGAAGTCATAACCAAAATAAAGACGGCCTCCGTGCCTTAAATCATGAGAGCCGCAATCTGCAGCTATGGCTGGAAGAGTGTCACCTAATCAACCCTACTCACAACTCTGCCTGGAAACCAAGTCTTCATGAAGCAGGGCTGAATTTGCAGTAAATAGTTGTTTCAGGGGATCTATTTTATTTGTCTTCTAACATCCCTAATTTGTGCAAAGATCGGATGCTGTTCCCTTAAAACCTTTGTTTGTATAACCATAATTGAATGTTTAAAGAAACCCAGAGCTTCCCCGGAGAAGCATTTTTCACACTGTTGCCGTCTGCCTATGGAACGGCAGGGACTGGCTTTATAACTTCCATAACTCTGCTGGATCCCCGTGGACTCTCAGGCCATTCCTCAAACAGGTGCTCTGTGCAACGGCATCTTTGATCAAAATGCTTTATTGGACAGGCCGGCCGTCTTCGACATCCGTTTTTCCAGTTTAGGATAATTAAAAGTGATGGCGGTAGATCACGCTCCTTCCATCTCTCAAACCCGCCGAGCTCTCTGTTTGCAAGCCATGTCCCATCCCTGATGGAGGCTGCTGCTGGAGGAAGTCCATGGCCCGCTGGATTTACATTTGAGGTGTCTCTGAGCTGGAACAACTTTGGCACTGGCTTTTATTCTGTCTGGAATAATTCCAGACATCTCTTAAGGGGCAACTCGAGTTAATATTCACTCTAGAACAGTAGCAGAAAGGGCATTTTAAGTTTGTCAAACGTAGGCATAAATATTTAGGAAGGCATTTATTTGACAACCTCTCTCAGAATATCACGATGTGAGATGGAGAAACGTAGCTGGTGTGGGGATAGCGTTGGACGGATGAGTAGTTGGCTGAATAACTACCCAGAGGATATTAATCTGTTGTTCACGTTGACCCAAACCATGTTGGACAGCTGGACTGAGATTGCCGTCGGTGACCTCAGGGCTGTGTACAAGGCCTCGTCCTAGCCCACAATTTTGTCAGCCATCTCTATGAAGACACAGAAGGTGCGCTGATCACGTTTCTTGGCACACAAAGCTGGAGGGGGATAGCTGCGCTCTGCACGGCAGAATCTGGATTATGGAGATTTCAACAGTTTGGATCAATGAGCCAAAACTAACAAGATGAGATTTAATGGGGATAAATGTAAAGTCCTATGCTTGGGTTAACAAAAAAATAAACATTGTAAGTTCAGAAGGAAATTTACTAGTAGTTCTCGTGAAGGAGAACTGCAAACTCAATATGTACCCCCGAGGTGGTGTGGCTGCTAGAAGGTGACTGTCACCTGTGTCTGTGCATGGGCGCCCATGGTAGTCCTAGACTGGAGAGGCCGTCATTCTGCTGTGCAGTGACCAGGTCAGACCGCATCCCAAACCCTGCCCCACTTCCGTTCCAAGCACCACGTTT